CTCAACCACCAGAGCAATAAGCGGTCCAGTCGTTGAGAGAGTCGAGCGAAGAGAGCTTAAGTCAACATTAGTCTGAACATTGGCAGTTTGCTCTGTGTTAACGATTATTTTCTCAAACTCTTCCTTTCCGCTGAAGCAAGACAAATGTTGGTCGACACCTCGAAAAAACTTCGCTAAAAGCAGCGCATCGTGACATTAACGGTAGGGCTGCTGCTGCGTGCGGCGAGGCGGGTCCTCAAACGTTAGCTAGACCGACTTAAGTGCTTTCTTTGACAGTTAATGCAGTTAGCCGACGATCCGAGGCGCTCGGCTAAGGTCAGCTAACGGCAACCCCTCACACCTACCGCGCTCAATGAAGAGGCTCGTCCGCGTTGCGTCGTTCAGTCACTGTCTCGGCCCGACTTCTTCCAGAGTTCTTTTTTCAGCCACATCTTGGTCCTCGAGTCGGAAACGGAGGAGGACTGCGCTCCTGCGAGCACTGGGTCCGGCCATCTTCAGATCCTTTTTTTATAAAACACAAGGGAGCAAACGTCGAACGGCTCCCTTCTCTGCTCGCACGCGCAGACGCTTGTTCTTCAGCTGGCCAACGGTTTCACCGCTGCCCGGCTGCTCGGGTACGTAACTCAACGGCTAAGATGCGCTGCCGTGCACACACGGGTGGTAGTAACGGCGGTAAACGGTGGTAACGGTGTATGAACAGACAGTAACGTTTGTACAACTCAAAGCCGAAACACGGGTCTGTCCGCTGGAGAGGACGCGTCAGGACGTGCGAGCCGCCGCTGCCGTCTTTTTTTTTTTTTTTTTCTTACTCCTGCGGTCCTTCTTCTTCGCCAGCTTAGCTTCAGTGTTAGCTGTGGGGCTAGAAGGGGTTGGCATCATGAGACAATGCAGCGGTTGAAGCGAGTGAGTTGTGGACCGACAGCGGTGCAGTTGAGTAGCTTAAATGTTCCGACAGCTCAGTGCCATATTAGACACGTTTCCGACTTTCTGGGGGACCTTGTCTCGGTTCTACATGGCGTAGCGCGACACGGAGGCGCGGAGAGGAGGAGCCGCTTCTCTGCTGCACACCTGAGGCCACAGGAGCTGACTCCAGTGAAGGTACGACGTTAACAAGTTTGTCCGCTTTATGGCTTCAACTCAGCACCGAACTGTGGTTACGTTTAACAGTCAGCCCACATTGTTTTGTTTATAAAGATTTTGTTTATTGTTTGTATAACCTCTAGATTGAGGTTCCTTGGCAGCTGGATGGAAAGGTAACTTTTAACATTCTGCTCAAATTACCCTATACTGTGTAGTTACTCTAGGTAATCAAACAATAGTAGTTAAGTTATGAAAATTCAGTGCGTTGTTGAAGAGTTAGAATCAAGTGGATTTCTAACCATCGGCCTGCTCATGATAGAAAAGTCTACACAACCAATGAAATAAATTTGTCAGAAGCAAGCAGTAGACAATCTAACTAAGATAAAGATAAGAGATATTCCCACAATGGTTAAATTCCAAATCTTACACAGCAAAGTGGATAGAGAACAAAAAACAGATAAAGACAGTATAAGCACAGTATGAGGAAAATATGATAATATATAATAAATACTAAACACCTGTACGAAGGAGAGAAAAAACAGTAAAAAACCACCAACAGATAACAGGGACCTACGAAACTCTCCCTTACCACATCTTAGTCGCCTCGCAGGAGTCTGTCCAGTGCAGTGATGGTGTCCTGCATAGGGTGGAAGACACTTGTCCATCAGTGAGTCGAGGGGAAACGATAATAGAACATAATAATAATAATATAATAATATATAATAATGTCATATAACAATAAAGTACTTTTACTATTCATACTTTAAGTATATTTTTACTAGAGTTTTTTAATGCAGGACTTTTACTTACAGAGTGAGTGAAATATTTGTTATATTATATTGTTATATTGGTACGTTTACTAAAGAAACTAACTGAATACTTCTTGTACCACTGGTTTTTGGTTTCCCAGGACCATGGCTGGATTTACTTGTTAGGGGCCCCGGGGCAAGAATTAAGAGCTCCCATCAATTACAGTGTACACTGCCGCAACTAACTATCTTCATTTTACTCATTAGAGATTAAGTTTTTATTGACAGAAGAATAACTAGCAATTATTGAATTTAAATGATTTCAATCACTTATCAAACAAAAAAAACATTTGATGGTTCAATCTTCTTAAATATGAGAATATGTTTTTACTTGACTTAAATGATAGTAAATTTAATATCTTTTGGTTCTTGGGGCTTTCTGATGTTTTACAGATCAAACATTGAATAATTGCAAAAATAATTTAGATTAACTGATACTAAAAATAATTGTTAGTTGCAGCCCAGGATTAATTATAAGGGTCATCTGTTACTGAAGCTACTGATCAACCAAATAAACCAACAAAATAAAGGTCTGAAGCTTTTAATATCTTAACCTCGGTGTCACCTGACCTGTTTGTGTGTTTGGTTGCTACTTTTTTAGGTGAAGTTATTTTTGACAGGAGGGCATCAAACCTCCCACGTGATGCTGGTGTGGGTTCCCAGAGAAGATTAACATATGAGGAGGCGGTAGAGGAAGCAGGTAATATCAGGGTTGACAGTGTTGTAGTTGCTGTGTCACATCCTGATGTTTTTGTGTCATATGTAATGTGTTTAATCACAATAACATGTAAGATGGAAGAAATGTGAAAGTCAACATATTACTGATGTTTTGTGGCGGAAAAAAACGTTTAAATCTATTTTTTTATATATCTGTCTTTAAACTAGAAGAATACGTGCTCCTACATAGAACAGCATATATCCAAAATAGACCAATAAAGGCGTTAGATGGTGCTGTAACAGATAACTTCTCTGTTTGTTAATTCGCTGTCCGTTCTGCGTTTGCTCTCAGGTTTTGGTTTGTTCCACTGGCTGCTGTTGGTGGTGTGTGGTTGGGCCAACGCCAGCGATGCCGTGGAGATTCTCTGTGTGTCTTTTCTTCTGCCAACAGCCCGCTGCGACCTGCTGCTGAGCTCTTCAGACATGGGGCTGCTGACTGCCAGCATTTTCCTCGGTGAATCACAGTCATTTAAAAAAATCAGTTATCTGAGCTGTGACTGAGAAAATTAATTGGCAGTTTTATTAAATCATTGTTTTAGTAAATTCTTCAAGCATACATGCTAAGTAAAAATAAGAGTTGCAGCCATACTGAGCAGGTACAGTTGACCTGTGAATATAATAACAATTAAACACCCAGTGTCACCAGTGCACGGTGGCCGCTCTCATACCTCCGCAAGATGTTGAATTAGTCACAATAAATGTAAACAAATCTGTCAGTGCAGCATCACTAGTTATCTATGAATAACTGGGACACTAACACACGATGATGTTTCAAAAACACAAAGGAAAATGATTTTTGGTTATTGTTCTAAACTAATTAAAATAGGTCACTTGAAAAATACACCTTTTTTTAAAAAAAAAAAAGCTTGGATATGAACACATGATGATGCAGTGAAGATTAAACTGAACCTGAACTATCCAATGTACTTGTAGAATTAACACAAGGAAAATAACAAGACTAAGAGTTTACAGCCATGCTAACGGCTCCGTCAGGCGAACCCTACGCTGGCAGGTATCATGTTACCATGCTGACGATCTCATAACATTTCACTTCACCAACTTATTTAAAAAACAAATGAGTAGATGATTGTCTCGTTCTAATCATATCCGTCTTTTCTAGGAATGATGGTGGGCGGCTACATGTGGGGATACCTGGCTGACCAGAGGGGGCGCCGCAAGGTCTTGGTTGTGTCCCTGACAGTCAACGGGCTGTTCGGAGGTCTGGCCAGTGTGGCGCCGTGGTTCTGGCTCTTCCTGCTGCTGCGGTTCATCAGCGGCATCGGGTGAGCAAATGATTTTCATATTTTTACATGTTTTATAGTGTACACATGTAACACATGTAGTCATTTAGCTGACGGCCACACACTGGGTGGCGTACGTTTCAGTGCTTAGATCATAGCTCACACTGCAATCAACAGGTCATAGTTCTTATCACTACAACATCTACATTGTAGATCCTTCATTAAGGACATTTTGGGAAAGAAAATCATAGACATTCATTAGTGTATAATCACCTGAAAATAAGAATCGTTGTGTTTGTGTTACCTTAAAATGAGCCGTTTTTGCTGATAGCTCAATAATAAAAAGCTGTTTTTTCTCCTGTGCAGGGTCGGCGGGTCGATCCCTGTTATCTTCTCCTACTTCTCAGAGTTCATGCCCCGTCTGAGGAGAGGTGCAATGATCAGCGCTCTGGCCACCTTCTGGATGGCAGGAAACATCCTGGCTGCAGGTGGGAATCTACATGACTGCCATAAATAAAACAATATCAGTGTTGCAGTGCTGCCACCACTGCGATTATAAAAAACCTCAGTCACGT